GCTTTTGTTTCCGGAGACGTTGGGAAGAAGTTGCTGTGGCCTAGGTCAAAGAGGTTCTTGCCTGCTTTCTCCTCAAGGATTTTGATGGCTTCCTGTCTTACATTTAGGTCTTTCATCTATTTCAAGTTTATGTTTGTGTATGGTATAAGAAAGTGGTCCAGGTTCATTTTTCTGCATGTCGATGTCCAGTTTTCCCAGCACCACTTGCTGAAAAGACTGTCTTTATTCCATTGAAAATTCTTTCCTGCTTTGTCAAAGATTAGTTGGCCATGTGTTTGTGGGTCCACTTCTGGGTTCTCTGTACTGTTCCATTGATCTAAGTGTCTATTTTTCTGCCAGTACTATACTGTCTTGATGATTATAGCTTTGTAATATAGCTTGAAGTCTGCGATTGTGATGCCACCTGCTTTGGTTTGCTTTTTCAGGATTGCTGTGGCTATTCAGGGTCTTTTCTGGTTCCATATAAATTTTAGGATTCTTTGTTCTAGCTCTGTGAAGAATGTTGATTTTATTTTGATAGGGATTGCATTGAATATGAAGATTGCTTTGGGTAGTATGGATATTTTAACAATATTTGTTCTTACTATCCAGGAGCATGGACTATGTCTCCATTTTTGTGGTGTGTGTATCTAGAAGCTGCTTTTCTGTCATGTACTATTGGAAGATGAGATTATGGGATCACTGAGCTTATCCTTTCTAGATTGGAGTCCACATTTGTAAGCTGTATCTCTTACCATGGCTTTTCTCTGCACATTCTTCTCTGCCTTCACCCAGCCAGCACACTTCTTGAACTGTAGTGGCCTGAATCCTCCCATCTCCCTCCAACACCAGCTCAACCCCTCTCATTTATATAAAGGTATTTCTATGTTCTTTGATTTTAATTAATTTTTGAAATACAAAGCTGTACATAATTAATAAATACAGCTTGATGAGTTTGGAAATAAGTACACACCTATGAAACTGTCACCAGGATCTATGCCAATTCCCATCCATCACCTCCAAAAATTTCCTACTACCCTCTTATTATTTTGTGATGACAGCACTTAACCTAAAATCCTTTCTCTTAGCAGATACTTAAGTATGTCATTCAGTACTGTTAACATGGTACAGTAGATCTCAAGGAATTGTGCATGCTGTATAAACAACATTTTGTGCCCTTTGACTAATACCTCCCTCTTCCCTATTTCTGTTTCCTTTTCCTCATTTTGTTATTTACATTTCCTGAACCAAGATCAATTATGAAACCTACCAGAAAGGCATTAAAAGGCCAAGCATGACCTCTGTGAGTGCTGTACCCATGGTCGTTCTATTTCCAAACGAACAGCTCAGCCTCTCATATGCAGCTAGACCCCTCCCCCAATTCTTTATCCAAAATAAGACACACAGACTAGCTCCAGGCTTCTGGTAACTTCAACATTTAAAGAGATGAGCATACAGAGGCAGACAAGGGAAGGAAGGGCTGCAGTACAAAATGCAGTTAAAAAAAAAAAAGTGGCCAAAGAATTGATAGCAAGCCCATACATGCCACTCCAGGTGCATAGCTGGGCTGAGGAGGCAAAGAGTTGACAGGGGTCCCCCCAAGAGGCTCTGGCCACATCCTGGGTTGAGGGGAAAGAGCTGGGCCCCCACTGAGTGTAGCCCCCTCCTCTGTGTCCTATGTTCTTGAGGATGTGTGTGCATGGTGTGGGGACTGGGAGAGAAGACACAGGAATTTTGGGAAGCCCACGAGGGCCACCACTTGTGAGGAAGGAGGCTGGGGGTACAGGTGGGCTCTGCAAAGAGCCCAGGACCAACAGAGGGACAGGAAGCCAGGCCAGGGCTCCTGCTGCTCCAGCATCTTTGTGCTCCTTCACTATGCCAACTGCCCCCCGGACAGGCAGCCGGCCATAGCTGGACAAACTCCTCATAGATTGTTGCCTGCTCAGGAACATGGCTGAAGGTAGGGGAAGGAGAATGCAGCTCCCAGCCCAGACTCTCTTGATCCTGTCTAAAGACCCAGTGGACAGGAAGAGTGACTCTGTTGACCCCAAAGAGTCTGGCCATGGCAATAGCTGTACACTTGGACCTCAGTGGCCAGGCCCAGGGCTCCTTCTGGCTCTTGCGGGGAGGCCCTGGGGCACTGCTCCTCCTGGTGGTCTGGTCAGCCCTGGCTGGGTGTGCAGCACTCAAGAGTGGTTAAACTGATGCCTGTGTGTCTGGCCTTTGAGTCTGGGGCTGTCTGGCTCTGTGAAGGGCTGTGTGTTCCCCAGGGAATCATTGGAGCATTTCTCTGCTGGCCCTGGACCAGGGCTGGGAGGTAGGAGGCCCTCACTGTCTAGCAGAGGTAGGCTGGTTCTCTGCAGGTCCCCTTCCCTGCGAGCTGGTAGCTTCATGCAGGTGGGCGACAGCTGCCCTAGAGCTGGGGAGCTGGTCAGCCTGCTGGGACACAGGGCCAAGGAGTGTGTCCTCAGATCCTGGGGGGCTGTGTAGCCCAGAATTTGCTGGCCTGTCTGTGGGCTGCCAGGGGAAGGGGTGCAGCAGGAAGAGGTTGGTCTGTGGGTGGCACATGGGCAAGAGGGAGGCAGAGGCCTGGGCTTACGGCCTGGCAGGGGAAGGGACAGGAAATGCCTGTCACTGGATGTCCTAATGCCACACGGGTTGGAGGCTCCCCGGACAAAGAATGAAGCCTGTGGCCAGGAGACTCACCTGGCCTCTTCTCAGCATTGTCATGGGGGAACTAAGCCTTCTGTCTATGGCCAGTTAGTGGCCAGAGGGGAGGCCTATAAAAGCAGAGCTGGCATCCTCTGCTTCTGTTCCCCTTGCTTCTGCAGGCTTCCATGACAGTGCTGCCCTCTGCTCAGAGGCCCAAAGTCTATAGGGTTTTCTGAAGGCCTGGCAATGGCCACCTTGTGGGCCAGCCATTGATGAGGCTGTCTCCCCTCTGACCTCGCTGGGGCTGGGGCGCTCTTCTTGGCTTTTCCCACTGCTCTGCATCCCTACAGCTGGACATGATGCAACTTAGTCCTTTCCTCAGCTAACCCTGGGTTACCCCCCTCAAGAGCTGGGGAAAGAGCAAGAGGGCGCTTCTGATATTCCCAGAACCACAAGCTAGGGCAAAAGAGAGGAACAGACCCAGGGCTATTTCTCTGTTAATTAGTACAATCAATCCATCAGCAAATGCTGACTGTGGCTTATTGAAGAAATATCCCATATTTGGCAACTTCTGGCCATCTGTAACTCACTCCCACCCTGGTCACCATCATATTCTGCCTGGACTAGTACAGTGGCATTTCCTAGCAGCTGGCCTCCAAGGGAACTCTCAGTGACTACTGACTTCTCATATTCAAGACCGTGTGTCAATGCCCTCCTCCCTGGGGCTGTCCAGTTCTGTTCTAGTAATGAAGCTGGAAAGCTTTTATGCAAATGGATTATTCTCTAAATGATATGTGGAATGTAAGCATCAGAAGAGATGCTCACATTGCATTTTTGGGATATAGTCCACAAGCTATAACAATGAGTTAGAAGCCAGTAGTTGCAACCTTAGCTCCTGGACGCGTCATCTTCCTTCTCCAGGTCCAGTTATATGCTTTAAGAAATGAAAGGTTGGACCAGGCTTTTTAAGGTTCTCACCATCTTCTGATATTTTAGGAGAGAGGTTGGCCTATTGTTTCTGTCCAGAGACAGAGAGTTAAAAACTAGAAAACATTGATGAAAGATAGTCCATGTTCATGGATTGGAAGAATTAATATTGTTAAAATGTCTGTACTACCCAAAGCAATCTAAAGATACAATGCAATCCCTGTCAGAATACTAACATTTTTTCCACAGAACTGAAACAAATAATACTAAAATTTGTATGGAGCCACAAAAGACAAACAGCCAAAGCCATTTTGAGAAAAAACAAAGCAGGAGGTATCACAATCAGAGATCCAAGATATACTACAAAGCTACAGTAATCAAAACAGTGTGGTACTGGCTCAAAAACAGACACAGATCAGTGGAACAGAAGAGAGCGCCCAGAAATAACCCCACGCTTATATGGCCAATTATTTTATAACAAAGGTGGCAAGAGTATGCGATGAGGAAAAGACAGTCTATGCAACAAATGCTGTTGGGGAATCTGGACCACCTCTTTACACCAACACAAAAGTAACCTCAAAATGAATTAAAGACCTAAAGGTGAGACATGAAGCCAAAAAATCCTAGAGGAGAGCACAGGCAGTAATTTCTCTGACCTTGGCCATAGCAACATTTTTCTAGATATGTTTTCTGAGGCAAGGGAAATAACAGCAAAATAAACTATTGGGACTTCTTCACAATAAAAACTTTTGCACAGTAAACGATCAACAAAAGGAAAAGTCAACCTATTGGATGGAAGAAGATATTTATGAAGGATATATCCAAAAAGGGGTTAATATAAAAAAAAAAACCCTCAAAAAGCCAAATTATCTGGTTAAAAAATGGGCAGAGAATCTGAACAGGCCTTTTTCTAGTGAAAATAGTCAGAGGGCCAGCAGGTACCTGAAAAAGATGTTCAACATCCGTAATCATCGGGGAAATGCAAATCAAATCACTATGAGATATCATCTCATACCTGTCAGAATGGCTAGATCAAAAAAGATAAATAACAAGTGTTGGTGAGGATGTGGAGAAAAGGGAACCCTCGTGCACTGTTGGTGGTGCAAACTGGTGCAGCCACTATGGAAAACAGTATGGAGATCCTTCAAAAATGTGGGGATGAGCGCCGGGTGTTATATGGAAACCAACTTGACAACTATACGCACATAAAAATAATGAAATAAATAAGAGTAAATATTTTCAGTATTGTGGACCAAAGCAGCCATTGACAATATGTTAATGAAGGGGCATGACTACATGCCAATAAAATTTTATTTGTGGACATTGAAATTTGAATTTCATATAATTTTCAGTGCCATGAAATATTCTCTTGATTTTTTTCAGTTAATTCAAAATGAAAAAAACCATTCATAGCTCATGAGCTTTAAAAATCACATGTGGTGGTGCTTGCTTCAGCAGCACATATACTAAAATTGGAAGGATACAGAGAAGACTAGCATGGCCCCTGCACAAGGATGACACGCAAATTCGTGAAAAATCACACGTGGTGAGCTAGACTTGGACCATCGGCCACAGTTTGATGATCCCACATGTATGTGATCTTACCCTGAGAAAATTTCACCTTGAAAAATACTGTGCAGTCACAAAAATGGAAAGAAAAATTACTGATTGAGTGTTCTTGGATGATTTACTCAAAGAACAAAAGCAACAGAGTCTGCTTTCTGAAAGCTACAGACCAGATGATTAAAATGTGATCACATAAAAAAAATTAGGAAGTGTAATGTAGTGATGGGGGATGGGCAGATAAGAGATAAAGCTATTATATGAAAATATTAATTGTAGACTCTAGGTTGTACATATACGGATGTTCATTGTAAACTTATTAAAACTTTCCTATGTCTGAACTTTTTCAAAATAAAATATTGAGGAGAACCAAATGGTATCTCTGTTATGTCTCTTCTATTGCTGCTGTCTTGACAGGCACTTACCTTCCCTCCTTTTAGGAAAACTTTACAAATTGGGGCACCTGAGTGGCTCAGTTGGTTGAGCATCCAACTCAGGATTTTGGCTCAGGTCATGATCTCATGGTTCTTGAGATCAAGCCCCAAGCAGCATAGAGCTTGCTTGGAATTTGCCCTCTCTCTCTCTCTCTCTCTCAAAATAAATAAATTAATTAAAAAAAGAAAACTTAACCTTGGTCAACCCAAAGTTGATCTGTAAATAACCATTTTGAACTTGTGAAGAATTTTACTGAACCAAGAAACTTCTCCCTTCATGTTGCTGTTGCTTACGGCCCTGGAGTGCCTGCTTTTGTGAACCAGACCAGCTCTAGGTCACTGGGATGAGAGAAAAATTCTACGTTCTTAGCCTCAAAGCAGCTCACAGTAACGTGAAATTGTCAGTAGAGTTTGGTATACATAATTCTAGAAAGATTCCACCTTTGGCTGATGGTTTTCATTTGCGAAGACTGCTCCCTTCTCAAAGTGGATGAAATCATGAGGGTCAGACATGGGGGAAAGCATAAAAGGGGAAAGAGGGAATCCTACCATTGCAGTGTGGGTGGCTGAGCCAAATAAGTCAGAGCTGGCAGTTTCTGTCCTGTTCCTCATCTTCTTGAACTAGTTTCTGTATTCTTCTTATACCTGAGGGTCCAAGCACACAGAGATGGGCATTATTTCAGGGAGCAGGGACAAGAGGGGAGAGCCATTAAACAGGCCCTGGAAGGTGTGAGTTTCTTCCGTCCCCTCTCCCGCCAGTTTTTCAAGTCATTGACCATAGCAACTCTTCCATTAATGTTTTATAAATTACATTTATATCATTTGTTACAACAAATTATTTTTTTTACCATATTGTATCGTGGTAGAGCATATATAACATAAATTTGCCATCGTAACCATTTTTTTTCTATGGAATTCAGCGGCGTTAATTACATTCATGACATTGTGCAACTATCAGCACTATCCATTTAAGTTTATTTTGAGAGAGAGAGGGTGCAAGCGGGCATGAGTGGGGGAGGGAGAGAGAAAATCCCAAGCAGGCTCTGCACTGTCAGCACAGAGTCCGATGCAGGGCTCCATCCCACAAACTGTGAGATCATGACCTGAGCTGAAATCAAGAGTCAGATGCTTAACCAACTGAACCACTCAGGTGCCCCTATACTGTCCTCTTTATGGATCGATTTCTTGTTAACAGATTTCTAGTTTGTGTCCAGCAGGCATTTTTTGGTACCTAAAATGAACACCGAAAGGTCACTTTTCCCCCTGGATTCCTTTGGTCACTGTTCTCATTATTTTCTTAAGAAAACTTTCCAGAAATGCAACTGAGTGGAGAAACATTGCTTTAAATTAATCATTGTAAAAACTATGCACACTATAGACATTTTCAATTACAATTTTTCTTGAAAATGGTCTTTTTACTTCTAAGTCATATAAGTCTTATAGCTGTGCACTCTCAAGGAGAAATACATGGCTCAAATACCTCTGGATTCTTGAGGTTTACAACTGAAACTCAGGCTGTGGAGCCCCCTGGCCCCCAGAAACAGGAAACACTGTCAGAAAACCCATCATACAGATATCAGGACTTGGCAGGTCTTGCAGGATATTTAAGCACTTTTATGAAGAGGAAGTAGGCTAAGTGTCTTATGTGAGACACTATGAAATTATGAACAGATTTAGTCTTGTTGGGGTTGAATTGTAAATGTCAGTAGCAACTAAATATCCTAATCTTATCTGACCAAATGACACACAGACTCATTTGATATACCACATTTCTTTGGGAGTGGCCAATACCACATCTTGAAGATAAGAAATTTTAGGTGGGTCTGTAACCTCTAGTATCCAAGGAACAAGGACACTTTAAAAATATCAGGATGGTCAAAATCCTCAAGGAAAAAGCAGACAAGAACCTCTTTGAGTTTGGCCACAGCAACTTCTTACTCAACATGTCTCAGAGGCAAGGGAAACAAAAGCAAAAATGAACTATTGGGACCTCATCAAAATAATCTTCTGCATAGAGAAGAAAACAATCAGCAAAACTAAAAGACAACCGACAGAATGGGAGAAGATATTTGCAAACACGACATCAGATAAAGGGTTGGTATCCAAAATCTATACAGAACTTATCAAACTCAACACCCAAAAAAACCCAAATAATCCAGTGAAGAAATGGGCTAGGGACATAAATAGACACTTCTCCAAAGAAGATATACAGATGGCCAACAGACGCATGAAATGATGCTCAACATCACTCATCGTCAGGGAAATACAAATAAAAACCACAAGGAGATACCACCTCACACCTGTCAGGATGGCTAACATCAACTCAGGCGACAACAGATGTTGGCGAGGATGCAGAGAAAGAGCATCTCTTTTGCACTGCTGGTGGGAATGCAAACTGGTGCAACCACTCTGGAAAACAGTATGGAGATTCCTCAAAAACTTAAAAATAGCACTACCCTACAACCCAGCAATTGCACTGCTAGGTATTTATCCAAGGGATACAGGTGTGCTGTTTAGAAGGGACACATGCACCCCAATGTTTATAGCAGAGCTATTGACAATAGCCAAAGTATGGAAAGAGTCCAAGTGTCTATTGATGGATGAATGTATAAAGAAGATGTGGTATATGTATATATATAATGGAGTATTACTTGGCAAGCAAAAAGAATGAAATCTTGCCATTTGCAACTATGTGGATGGAACTAGAGGGTATCATGCTAAGTGAAATTAGTCAGAGAAAGACAAATATATGACTTCACTCATATGAGGAATTTAAGATACAAAACAGATGAACATAATGGAATGGAAGCAAAAATAATATAAAAACAGGGAGAAAGACAAAACATAAGAGACTCTTAAAAAAGAGCAAACAGAAAGTTGCTGGAGGGGTTGTGGGGGGGTGGGCTAAATGGGTGAGGGGCTTTAAGGAATCTACTCTTGAAATCATTGTTGCACTATATGTTAACTTAGATGTAAATTTAAAAATTTTAATAAATATCAGAATGGTAATGGAAAGATCAGAGGAGCAGTCTTCCAGGAGCTCCCCGGAAAGCCTGAGCACAGGGAGGGAATATACTTGAGATATTTGCAACACTCTCAACTCTATAAACTTCTATGAAGACACACTGCTGCTCAGAACAAGAAAAGTTAATATAAAAATATGCAAACATAGTCACCTAGGAAAGTAGAGTGTGTTGACATGTGACATTATTTTTCTTTGAGCATGTCTAAGTATGATGACATATTTTTCTCCATGTAAGGAGAGAAGGGAAAATAACAAGGAAAATGAGCTAATTGGACAACTGACCCAAGACTGGGGACTGTATCAAGAACAGAAATGCTTAGCTGCAGAGGTTTTGTGAAATGGTGAATTAGACAGATGTCTCAGAGAGAAAAACCTAGAATTCTTCCCTTGCCTCCTGAGATAGAAAACCTCTAGAAAACCCTAGTAACTATAACATGTAATATAATTATATATGATATTGCTGATTACAATATACTATAAGGTATTACATATTTCCAAAAAGCTAGTAGAACAGATTAATACATATAATGACAGGACATTAGATTACATGAAGCTGGACAAAGCAAAAAAAGTGTAGACTAAGTTATTTAGGGTAAAGTTAAAATTTTGTAAAAAAAAATAAATTTTTAAGGTCTCATTGATCACTAAGGTAAGAGTTTGAGTTCGAATCAACTTGGAAGGTGATGCTCATAAACCCCTTGTCAAATTATCCCTTAAGATTGGCTGGCAGGAAAGATACGGAAGCAACCCAAGTGTCCATTGACAGATGAATGGACAAAGAAGATATGGTATATATACATAATGGAATATTAGCCATAAAAAAGAATGAAACCTTGCTGTCATTTGCAACAACATGGATGGACGTAGGTGGGATAATACTAAGTGAAACAAGTCAAAGAAAGACAAATATCGTATGATTCACTTGTGGTATTTAAGGAAAAAAAGATGAACACAGGGGAAGGGAGGGAAAAATAAGATAAAAATGGAGAGAGAGGTAAACTGTAAGAGACTCATAAATGAAGAGAACAAACTGAGAGTTGCTGGAGGGGAGGTGGGCAGGGAGATGGGCCAGATGGATGATGGGCATTAAGGAGGGTACTTGTTGGGATGAGCACTGGGTGTTACATGTAAGTGATGAATCACTAAATTCTACCCCTGAAACAAATATTACACCATATGCTAACTTACTTGAATTTAAACAAAATCTTGAAAGAAAAAAAGGACAGGAAAAATACATTGAAGTTCAGTACATTTTATAATAGTTGTATTTGTGTACCTTTGCCTTCTTATTTTTCTTGGTTTCTAAAAGATCTACTGTATTAAAATTTTTATTTTAAATTTAAATTGCAATGAAATGATTGAGAAAATTTGACCTCATTTTGTTAACTAACCACAATATAGTTTAATGATCAAGAGTGAATTGCTCTACATGTGGTGCTTATTGTACTTCACACCCAGAATTCTACCAGACAATTAAACATCCAATCAGTAGGTCCCAATGCAAATGACTACAAAGCAAAATTGAAA